AGCTCTCCTGGACTCCTTTCCCCCTCATGTTATTCTCCAAGAGGATCTTGCCCATTAGTTCCCTGAGGGAGTCAAAGTCTGCTTTTCTGAAGTCCAGGGTCTGTATTCTACTGCTCTCCTTTCTTCCTTTTGTCAAGATTCTGAACTTGACCATCTCATGGTCACTGCCTCCCAGGTTCCCATCCATTTTTGCTTCCCCTACTAATTCTTCCCTGTTTGTGAGCAGCAGGTCAAGAAGAGTGCTCCCCCTAGTTGGTTCCTCCAGCAGTTGCACCAGGAAATTGTCCCCTACACTTTTCCAAAAACTTCCTGGATTGTCTGTGCACTGCTGAGAAAGGCTGAGCACCCAAAATTGCAAATGAAGAATGGAGGCTTATGTGCTCTTGACAAAACCCATGCCCAAGAGATGCAGACTTCCTAAGAGCAAGAAAAGTCAACTTGCACTTTAGAAACCCCATAGAGTATCCAAGGTTTGATAATCACAGGCATCAATTCTCACCCAGGGAAAGAAAATAGTTACAAAATAGTTGCAGTTAGAAAAAGAAGAAAAGGTTAGGGTTATTTGTAACAAATAAAGCTTCCCACTCATCTCTCTCAAACACCTGATTAGATCCATGTCAGTCTTTCCAGAAAAAATAAAACTGTACACTAGCCTAAGGTTTACACCGGTTATATTTCAAGTTAATTGGTTTAATTTTGAGGAAGTGGGATGGGGTGGGAGAAAGAGGAAGAGCATAAAAATGGCCATGCTAGGTCAAACTCAATATCCAACTAGTCCAGTATCTGTCTCTGATAGTAGACAGCACCAGAGGCTTTAAAGGAAGGTATAAGAACCCTGTAGTAGGCAGATGTGGAATAATTTGTCCCCCATGTAGGTCTCTTCCTGATCTCTAGTAGTCAGAGATTGGCTCAAACCCCAAAGCATGAAGTTTAATATCCCTTCCAAATTTTTTGTTGTAAATAATTAGTATACTCTGGCTATTCTTGATATCCATATAAATAACCAATCTATTTTTTTAATGTTAAGTTATAGGCAACGAGTTTCTGTGGCAATCTTTAAAACCTTTTATCAGTTTTAAATTTCCTATTTATTTTATTTTGAGACTGGGGGAACAAAAGCTCCCAATCTATCTTCTCTAGACAATTCATTATTTTATATTATTTTAGCATGTCCTCTCTTACGTGTCTCCTTTTGAAAATAAACAATCCCAATTTTTTCTTTCTCTCCATATGAGTGTTCTTCCAAGCCCTTGATTCTTTCATGTTGCTCTTCTCTGAGCTCCGAGTAAGCTCTGCAATATCCTTTTTTGAGATGGGGTGACCAGCACCTATCTATGAAGAATTTAGCTTCTCCCTGCTACAGAGATTTTAAAAAAATCAAGAAAGGAAATACCCTTGAGTGGAGTGTGTGGTTGTTTTTTTTAAACTTTTGTCATATATTTGATCTCCAGCTCTCATTTTCTCTCTGTCATTGTCTGCTAAGGTTTCATAACATTTGCAGTGAAGTGAACCTCAAAGTACCAGCTGGAAACTGACATGCAATGAACACCGGTAGCCACTTACAAAAGACTTGCCATCTTAAATAAAAGGCATGCTCTGTCTCTCATATTTTTCCTCTGTGGCTCACTATATCAAATATAAGCAAGGTAGGGAAAGGGAATATCATTCTGGTCCTCCTGACTTTCCACTAGGCCATACATTCTGTTAGAAATGGTTACAAGCACCACCGGTACTGAGATGGCTGAGCCAACTGCTGATGTGTCAAGATGTTTCATACACAGCTGGAGTTCTTTTCAGAACTGAAATACCAAGTCAAGGGGGAAAGGGAAGGCAAGGGCTCAGTCAACCATGTAAATGGATCAGAGGAAGTGAATTTGATAGTGTCTATTCACAGGAGAGAGGGAGAGGAGGAAAAAAGAAAGTAATTAACATCTGCTTCACCAAGCCTTTTGAAGTCCCTATATGTGCTACAGATGACAGTAGAAGTTCAGACAAACCAATTATATTTTAAAGATCGAGTACCACAAAATAAAGGCGATACAAACTAGTGCAAGAAAAAGCGACAATGACGACTCCCCAACATGACACTTAGCAGTGTATCCCTGAATACGTTAATCATCACTACAAGAGGAGGTTTGTGGAAGGATTGTTGTCTATTATTAAATCCAAAGCACTTTGCCACATTATTTATATTGAGGTATTTCAGATGACATCTGGTCCTGTCAGTGCTATGAGGACATTAACTGTCCCATGACACTTTTTGTGAGACTATTCTAACTTTTTAAAGCTGGAGAAGACCTATAAGATCTTACAGTCCATTCCCCAGCCAGTGGATTGCAGAAAGCTTTGTCCCCCTCCTTCACTCCTGTGAAAGATATTCTGTTTAATCATTTTCTGCCCCAAAATAGCTGGAAGTTATGAGGGAAGCGATTTCCCACTTTGTGTCCTTCTACACTCATCATCTCAAAGACCCTTTTCCACATGACTAGAAGAGCCTGGAATCCCCTTCTTTACCCATCCTGCCAAGTCTTCACCCTTCCCTCCTGAAAGCCCCTCTTCCAAATGCCTAGGAATACTAGAGCTCCCCATGTAGATGTGTTAATTAGCATGACAAAAAAGTCTTACACATTGGGACTCATCAGGGTACAATCCTGACTCAGTAGCTGTGTCACCTCTGCCCTCTAACTTGGGGTGCCCTTACAATGCCTTGCTCATGGGCGTCAGGTAAACCCCTGCTTTTGGGGATGCTAGCCCAACGGCCCCACACCTTCTGCCTGAGCCCCTCCCCGCACACCAGAGCCCCGAACTCCACCCCCCCCCCCATAACAGGAGAAGCCCTGAGGGCCCCTCCATGAACAGAAGAACCCCGGGTCCCCACCCCAGCCACACTGGGCTGCCCCCTGCCCCCAAGTGCCATGAGCCACTGCCCCCACTGCCCACCAGCGCCGGGCCAGCCCCAGCGCCCAGCCAAGCCACCTCACTTCCCAGCCTGCCACTGGCTCGCTGCATCCCTCCTCACTCCCTCGCCCCCAAGAAGGAGGGATGTGGCGAGCAGCGGGGACCTCTGGAAAGGGAGGGATGGAGTAGTGGACTTACCACAAGGCAGGCATCAGCAGGCAATGGGAGTCTCAGGGTAGCAGCAGGGCCACCGCGGGCCACCGCAGCCAATAATAATGGCCTGTTTTATCCACTGCCCATGGCTTTGCTGCTGTAGGTTCCAGCCTGGATTGCTCACAAACAGCCTCCAGCATGCAAGTCGCTCCCAGTTATGTCTCTGTGTGTGCTGCAGCCAGCCAGCCACACCTTAGCTCTTACAGGCCTGGGTTATACTGCAGGGTGACCCCCACATATCCCCCATCTTAGATTTTCCCCCAGAAATGTATGTCCTGAACTGCCTAGTCCTCTCCTGGACAATATAATTTTATATGAAGTCTGTTGTTTCTTTAATAGAAATAATATGCACACAACTTGCCACCCCACATAGAGTGTCCCAAATACTTCAATTTAAACACACTGGATTTGATAATAATAATATAATATGGAGATATCCTATTTTTAGAACTGGAAGGGACCCTGAAAGGTCATTGAGTCCAGCCCCCTGCCTTCACTAGCAGGACCAAGTACTGATTTTGCCCCAGATTCTTAAGTGATCCCCTCAAGGATTGAACTCATAAACCCTGGGTTTAGCAGGTCAATGCTCAAACCACTTAGCTATCTCTCTCCCCCCATAACACAATAAAACTGCAAAGAGAGATTTTAAGTGAGTACAAGTAATGAGGCACAAAAGTCAGAAATGGATACAAGAAAAATAAAGATAAAACACTACTGGTGCCTAACTTAATAAACTATATCAGATTCAAGAAAAAATTCTCATCATGTGCTTTCAGTAGTCTTACTGACCAAACTCTAGCTCAGGACTCCTTCTCTCGGAATCCAATGGAGGAGTCCTTTATCACTTCAGGTGCCGTGAATGCAATGGGCATGGGAGAGAGAGGGTGTCTTGAGGTGTTTGCCCCCTCCTTTTTATAGTTTCAGCCCTCCTTGTGAAAAACATTTCCAGGTGGGTACCAGGAGGCAAAAAGTCTATGTGAAAGGATGTTCCCTGCTGCTGCTTTTTCTCTTGTATTTGAGCTTTGTCTCCCCTTCCTGCAAGATGACTCTGTTTACTGCTCAAATTTGTAGTAAGCAGAGCACACATTTCTTTGTTTAGGACAGACCTGTTTGCCAACTTCTGCTTGGGCAGGGCTGTGGTTTAGAACTTGTGTTAATAACATCATACAGGGAAATCTTATAACTTCTGTGATAGGGCCAGGCCAGATGGCTATAGGAGAGTGATCGAAGTCAGATATATTAGCGGTTCCAGAAAAATCAGGAACTTGCTGGAACCAATTAAGGCAGACAGGCTAATTAGGACACCTGGAGCTAATTAAGAAGCTGCTAGGATCCATTAAGACAGGCAGGCTAATCAGGGCACCTGGTTTAAAAAGGACCCCAGTTCAGTCAGTGAGGGGTGCACAAGGAGCTGAGAGTGAGAGGGTGTGCTGCTGGAGGACTGAGGAGTACAAAAGCTATCTGACATCAGGAGGAAAGTCCTGTGGTGAGGATAAAGAAGGTGTGGGGAGGAGGCTATGGGGAAGTGGTGCAGGGAGTTATAGCTGTCACATTTTCTGGGCTGGAACCTGGAATAGAGGGAGGGCCTGGGTTCCTCCCATCCCCCCAACTCCCTATTGATACAGGAGGAATTGACCTGGATTGTGGGTCCCACCAGAGGGGAAGGTCCCTGGCCTGTCCCCTGCGCCACTAGATGGATCAATAGAGATTGTGGGTATTGTTCTCCTTCCTTTTCCTCATGCTGGCCAATGATGAGGTTAGCTGAGTAAACAGCAGGTTTGAGCCACTAGCAAAAGTGGCCAAACTAAGGGCTGTCGTGAATCTCTGAGGTGAGCAAATCTGCCAATAAGTGCAGGACTCACCAAGGCAGAGGAGGAACTTTGTCACACTTCACATACAAGGTTGTTGCACATTTTACCAGGACAATAATGACCAGTAAATTGAGTTTTCAAATGAGACCTCACAAGTCATACTTCATACAAAGATAACAATAGGGTGTAGGCACAGGTATTCTGTCAAACACAAAGCACAGGGTTTATTATTATTTCCAGCACTTTTAATCATGAGAGATGCTCCTCTGTGGGCTTACCATAGGGGTATATTGGTGAAATGTAATGGCATTTGATATACACAAGTTCAGAGTAGATGATCTAATGATCTCTTCTGGCCTTAAACTCTGAGATTAGAATGGGTATTTCAACATTGTCACTAATGTCCACCTCATAATATGATAGTCTGTTTTGCATCAAATTTGATACCTACATAAGCTCATCCATTTATTGCATTTTTACAGTACCCATCTCTGTAGTATCCACCACTTCATCAATGATGCATTAACCCTCACATCACTCCGCTGAAGTAAAATATTATCCCCATTTAACAAATGGGGAAACTGGGATGCAGAAAGGTTAAGGGCCACGTTTACAAAAGTACTAGGCATCTAAAGATGCAGATTGAAAGTCAATAGAAGTTTAGCACCTTACCTGCCTATATGCTACTATCGGAATTTTTAAGTGCCTAAATAGCTTTGTTAATCTGGCCTCAAGCATCTTGCCCAAAGTGACATAAGTCTGTGGCACAACCAGGAATAGGACCCAGTCCTGTGCTATAATCCCAAAGCCCTCTCCCAAGTCAAGAACTGGCTAGTGTGATATGTCAGTTACAAGTTAATCAATTCAGTTTCTTAAAAGGATTTTAGAATAAAAGGTCTCCACTCTGTGTGTGGAAAAGCTCTTTAAACAATAAGACAAAGTTAGCACACAGTTTCTTTAAATATTTTCCATCCTATCCATTTCTCTCTGCTCTCATCAAAACGGCTCATGACACAGTCACTTCAATTTTCAGCTTTCAATGTTGGTTTTGATAGGTGCCATGCTTTATAGACATCTGGCTTGGTTCCTCACCGTTCCTTCCAAATTTGCCATTCAGCTGGATTCTATTTTTCACAGTCAATGGCCTGAACAAGATGATTCCTTTAAAGTGAAAGGACCCACAATGCAGTATGAGAGAATGACACACACAAGATCATCCTGTACTACTTAAGCTAATGTGACCAAATCAGAGTCTGGAAAACCATTTTGGAACAGTACTAAGTTTTGGAAGATAGTTCTTAATTGAAAAGTTCATTGCTAATGAAAGTGTGAGGTGGTAAAATGTTGGACTTGCAGACTAAATCATTTGAGTTAATAACACAAGTTCATTTTAATTCAGTGAAGTACATAACTGGCATCAAGCTTTCAAGATCAGCACACTTTGATGTGACTGGAATCCCTAATATTATAAAACTTTATTTTATATATGTAAATGTTTTCATTATTTGCATTTTTAAATTAGGTTACTGTTTGATAGCTTAGACTAATTATAAGCCTGTTGATTTTATTGAACCCAATGATATCCACTGACCAGTTACAAATCTTTATAAGTCTAAACTTGAATTCCATGTAATTATTCTGCAGTCAGCTAGGACTATGGTACAGAGATGAATGAGTCCCTCTGAGACTACTCCACCTTGAATAATCGGAAGAGGTCAGTGGGGTCAATTACTGTTTCAGTTTGCTCATAGCTGCTGCATGTAAATCAGTTTACTAGGAGCTTGGAAAGTGCTTTGATAACATTTATTTCATTACCTTTATCTCTGCAATTGCAGGCATTCGTGATGTAGGACAATTAAACTCACAAGTAGGAATGTGCTGAATTATATGGAAATGGTGGTAGCTGTTAAAACACAAGTTTGCAAGTACAGAAGCTTTATGTGGTTCATAGTAGCACAGTTACCATCAGTTTCAGTGGTAACAGATGCATCAAGGTCAGATGCCATTTTATGGAAGGATATGAGCTTCCAGTTTATATGCCTCTAAACAATGGATTACAGGTTTCATGTTAGAAATGCCAAGATTTTCTTAGTATTTAAAGTTTTTGAATATTCATATTTTGATATTGGGATTTAGGCATGTCTGAAAACTTTACCCAACAGAAGTTTGCAATTAATATTCTTAACATAACAGGTTACAGTTAAAATTCTTCTTTCTAATTTCACTCTGCATACGATTACTATTACAGCTAATTGAGATTATGAGGGTCTAATTTTTTGAAAGAAATGATGCTCAGTAAATAACAAAAAGAGAGAACTATTTTGAAACTGCCACTGGCTATTTTGAAATTACTGGCTTGCATCTCCTTGAAAAGGCTTACAGCCATCCTTATCAGATTTAGAGAGAAGTAACATATTGGAACATACTAAATAAACATGCTTTAAGCTAGTCAAGGGAGACGTCCAGAGGCCCCAATGGGAATTAGCTGCCCAACTGCTACTGAAAGTCAAGGGGAATTGTGTGACTGACTGCCCTTTGTGCTTTTGAAAATCTCTCCCTTCAATTTTCTATAGACTAGCACTTATAGTCTTAGGCTAGAAAAAAATGTCGCCCTTACTTGGGTGTACAAGTTGGGAAGGTGGGGGAAGAGAAGACACATGGGTGAAATCCTAGCTTTGTTGAAAATAATAAAAAAAAACTCCCATTGACTTCAATGGGGGCAGGATTTTACCTGACTATCTTCACTGCTCTGCAACCTTGTTTGGAGTACAATATGGTCCTTGCCTTCACCCAAGTACAAGGACACAGGCTGCACCCCACAAAGCTCTTAAAGATATTGTGGCTTATGTAGACACAATGTCACCCAGTGTTCCAATTTGTGGTCTGCATTGCCTCCTGTGCTCCCTCATGCAAGGCTGAGCCTTAAAAGTACAATGGAGCTCTCAACTGCATACATACTTTAAACGTTAGCCTGCAAAGCTGTTAAACATTAAGCCTGACAGATCTACCTTCAGATTTAATTATTTTTATTGCACACGATTATGTAATTTTTATCAATAATTCATAAAAATAGAATACAGTATCTTGGATTCTGACAAGAACTATTTCTCCATGTCCTTCGAGACTCTAAAAGACTGGAGAAGGGCAGATGCAATATGTTCACTTTAATTCCTTGATAGCATTTTGGCCAATCTCTGATGTACTCAAGGAGATCTTAAGTCATAATTAATCAAACTACTTCTGACAAACTACCATGCTTTCTCTTTCCCCACACAGCACCAGAAAAGAAACTGAATGCAAAGCTTAAAAACCACATTGTTTATAACATACAACGGGGACACATTTCTTTTATCAGCATACAAGATCTACAATTTACACTGACAGAGTTTATGAAAACAATAGCAGCCCATTCTCTGAAATCCTTTCCAAAGCTCAGTTTATCAATAGCTGACATAGTATTTTCTTCTTAATGAATTAAGAAGCATTATTAAAGCCTTTCCCCTAAATTGTTTTCTTTGAGATGACATCTAACTTTAAAAAAAAGTCTTTTTTTCTCTCTCTTGGTTTGCCAACAGCTATGATCATTCTCCAGCTCTTAAACTATGTTCTTAGGGCTTGTCTTCACATACAATGGTGCAGCTGCCCCGATGTAATGCTTTAATGAAGATGCTCCTACGCCCCACAAGAGCAGGTGTCCCTGCCAGCATTGTGACTAGTGATGCACATACTGCCTGTACTCTTCTACATACCTAAGAGCATACACCAGCTCATTACTGATCCATTTAAAATCAACGGAAGTTTTTCTGTTGACATCAATAGAAGTTGGATTTGGCCCTCAGTCTCTGCACTAGAAAGAGGAAGGATAAATATGAGAGATGGAGATCAGTCCTGATGGCTCTCCACACAGGAACCTCCTAATGGGGTCCACAGAAATGCTGTAAGTGGAGGGGCTGCATGATTTAGGCTAGTAGCATGTGGATTATTATATCAAATAGTAACATAATGGGCATCTTTTTATAAATGATATAAAATACTAAAATGTACTGATTTCAGTGAAAGGAGCCTAAATACCTTTGAGGACCAAAGTTACTACAGTACATTGGCAGCAGAATTTTGTTATAGTTACATTGAGAAAAAAGAGTGGAATACTCAGGAACTAAGCAATAATATAGCCTTGATTATTTATTTTTTATAAAATTAGACGTATCAAATTGGGAAATAGGAATTCTTAACTTGATTCTTAAAATCATATATATTACATGGCTAAAAATTTAATGGTGACTAGAAACAAAACTAAGAATTGTTTTAAAGAGGAATTAAAATAGTTTTGAGGTGCAGCAAGGGAATTTATTCTGAAATTCAACTGCTCAATCAACATAAGGTGACTACCCATAATGAGCTATCTGATCTTTTCTGCTTCTCTACCCCCATTATTATTTCCATTTCTGCTATGTCAGTTTAAATACTGAAATCCATAATCCAGGTTATATTTTAATATAAAGTAAGCAATTAGCAGTCAGACACTAATAATAAGATGACATTTGATAGAGATTTTAAGATCCTCAGGGCCCACAGTTCAGCCTCTATATCCATTAACTGTATGCAGTATTTAAGTAGCACATTATTTTCTAGGTTATTTGGTGATGTAATACAGCAATTGAAGCAGTGAGTAAATATATCACAGTTTCAAATGAAACAAACCAAGCAATGAAAAGCCACCTGCCCCTGTAATAGGCCTCTCTTGTCTCATAACAGAAAGCAACTTCTAAAAAACATGGGGTCCAATTCTGATCATACTTACACCAGTTTCATACTATTCTAGCACCAGTGGTCTGGATCCTCATCTAGTGTCATAGATTTTAGTGGAGCTATGCCAATTTATGTCAGCTGAGGATTTAGTCCATCAACTTCAGCTGTATGGCAAGATGTATCCGTCTCACCTAGAAGCCTATAGAGAATGGGCAGAAGCCAAGCACTTTCTAAATAAAACTCCGACAAATTAAGGGGCACATTTCCAAGAGGGTTGTAGCCCAACCTCCCTTTCAGCATGTCGGGGGGGGGGGGGAACCAACCCTCCAGTTTTCTGCTTGCAAAGTACATTGTGGCCTCAAATCTGAGTACTCACTCTAACTGTGTGATTTGAATCCACAGGTGCGTCCGCTCTTCAGATTTGGGCCAATCATGCAATATGGATGTGAGCTCTGTTAGTGGGAGGAGACGTTCCCGCATTGCTTCTGAAAGAACATATTAGAGAGCGGAGGGGGGAGGAGGGGAAATTTGGTCAAAATTTGAACATCCTAACATCAATTGTCATTAAAAAAAATCTCCCCAATTTGCATTAGAAAAAAGTCCCCGTTTTTAATTAGCTCTAGTACCTGCAGACTGAATCCTTTCCCAAAGTCAAAATTTGAAAGTTTTCACCCAGTTCTAGTATGTGTTCTATCAGGAGCACAGTGCATTAATTAACTGATAATGCACATCATCAGGGTCCATGTGGACAACTAGTCCATGATTCACACCCCAGCTTGCTGCGAACTCAATGTTCATGTACACAAGCCCTTAAATAGCAACCAATCAACTTCTTCCTGGTGGTTTAACTAGAGTGAAACAGGAGACAGAGCTCCCCGTAGACCAGCCAAGGATTTGAAGAGCAGCACACTGCTAACCGCAACCCATGAGAGAAGTGGGAGCTGCCCTCTTTTTGCAAAGGAGGAAGCACTCTACCTTATTTTAAGCCTTGTTTCTTGCCGGATCTTGCTCCTGAACTTGGCTGTTTCAAGAACTGATCCCAGTAGGATATTTCTGGTTCCACTCTAATCACCTGTCTCTCAAAATGACACTCAACACATTTATATCTGGGATTAGAACCAAAAGGACTCTCCTAGCAAGGCTGCCAGCAGGACTCAGCAAAATTCCTCTTTAACCTTATTCAGGCTCCCAGAACTTGTCACTGTTACATGATCCTTTTGAAAATTTGGCCCAAATTAATAAAACCTAGTAAGGCACTATCCTGGATGTATTTTTCAGGGACAGGAGGCTTCCTCACCCCACTAGAAACAGTCTACACAAGCTGTAGTGAATCAAAATGTACTGCTTCCTGGGCTCTGGTTTTAGTTAGAAAACAAAGTCAGAGTAAAACATCACACAAGCCAACCCCAGGCTCCTCTTCAAGACCTATACAACCCATAGCCTAGATTATCTCTTTCTGGAGACCCACTCATCCCTCCCTTGTGAATGGGTGGGATAACAAACCACCTGCACTAGCAAAGTGGCAGATCATCTCCTGCTAACAGAATGAGACTTTCAGACAAACACTGCCAGCTGTTACAGACTGACTATGCAATTGGGGAGATAAGGAGGAGGATCACATCATCCTAATATGGAGGTTTTATTAATGAATTTTATCTTAGTGCTCTGACTTTATTTGTAGACATTTTATTCCCATCATTATATTGTGGGTCTGGAATTAGAAAGAAGATAGAAATACCTGCAATATATAAAACCACGTAGTACAGTAAAAATCTGGTTGAAATCCCAGCCCCCTGAAATATGCAATGCTAATAATGTCCAAAGTCAAATGGTAACAAGCTTTCTAGCAGTCATGTGATGAAATTAATATTCTTAATGAGATGCCATGAATCCCTGGAAGAACCTTGCACAGAGTGTTGTAACACTTCTCACAGTAAATTTTTCTATTCAAGAAAAAATAGAACAGCTTTTCAAGTGTACTTTGTCTTTAGTTTACCTGTGTAATCGAACATATTGGTATAGAAGGGTACAGCTTGCTCAGGAAGGATAGGCAGGAAAAAAAAGGGAGGAGGTGTTTCCTTATATATTAAAAATGTATACACTTGGACTGTGGTTGAGATGGAAATAGGAGACAGACTTGTTGAAAGTCTCTGGATAAGGATAAAAGGGATAAAAAACAAGGGTGATGTCATGATAGGGGTTTACTACAGACCACCTAACCAGGAAGAAGAGGTGGATGAGGCTTTTTTTTTTTTTAAACAGCTAACAAAATCATCCAAAGCACAGGACTTGGTGGTGATGGGGGACTTCAAGTACCCAGACATATGTTGGGAAAATAACACAGCAGGGCACAAATCATCCAATAAGTTATTGGAATGTATTGCAGACAATTTTTTATTTCAGAAGGTGGAGACAGCTACCAGGAGAGAGGCTATTCTAGATTTGATTTTGACAAATAGGGAGGAACTGGTTCAGAATTTGAAAGTGGGAAGGCACCTTGAGTGAAAGTGATCATGAAATTATAATATCAGAGGGGTAGCCGTGTTAGTCTGAATCTGTAAAAAGCAACAGAGGGTCCGTGGCACCTTTGAGACTAACCGAAGTATTGGGAGCATAAGCTTTCGTGGGTAAGAACCTCACTTCTTCAGATGCAA